TGACGGCTATACAGTTGAATAAGGCATATTCTTTCAAGTTAGCCCCGATTTTGGCAAGGATGTACAATGACTCTCTCCAGACAGGCCGATTGCCAGAAACGTTGTCCATTGCGTCTATCTCCTTGCTTCTCAAGAAAGACAAAGATCCTACTTCATGTGGCAGTTACAGACCAATCTCACTGTTAAATGTGGACTGTAAGATACTGGCTATCCGCCTCCAACGCGTACTGCCAGATATAATTTCGCTGGACCAAACAGGCTTTATGGTGGGGAGACACTCTTTTTTTAACACAAGGAGGTTGATTGATGTAATTTTCTCTCCTTCCTCTAACACCCCCGAAGTCATAGTGACACTTGACGCAGAGAAGGCCTTTGATAGGGTTGAGTGGGGTTTCCTATTTTCTAGTCTTGATAAATGTGGTTTCGATTCCCAATTTATTTCCTGGATTAAACTCCTATATGCCTCTCCATCTGCCTCTGTACACACTAATGGCATTCGATCTCCCCCTTTCTCTCTCCAACGTGGTACTCGCCAGGGGTGTCCTCTTTCGCCGCTGTTGTTCAATATAGCCATTGAACCTCTCGCTATCTGGCTCAGAAGCCATGATAGGTTTGAGGGCATTACGCGTCATGGCTTGGTTCATAAACTGTCTCTGTATGCTGATGACCTTCTTCTTATGATCTCGAACCCCTTATCCTCTCTCCCCCCCATACTGTCGATTTTAGATCAATTTGGCCGTGTATCAGGTTACAAACTAAACATTCAAAAGAGCGAAGTATTTTTTGTAAATAAAATGGCAGAGGCACTTCCCCAATCCCTATTCCCCTTTAAAAGGGCTGTGGAGGGGTTCAAATACTTGGGGGTGTTTGTTGCAAACTCTTTTAAAGACCTGTTCCCGAAAAACTTTCAGCCTCTACTAGATAAATGCAAAGCTGATATGTCTAGGTGGGCCTCCCTTCCCCTGTCTCTTGCGGGTCGCGTCAACCTTATAAAGATGGTCATCCTGCCAAAGTTTCTTTACCTTTTCCAACACATCCCTGTACGCATCAACAAATCTTTTTTCACTGATCTTGATAAGCAGTTGAATGCGTTCATCTGGAACAACAAGCCTGCGCGTATTAGAAGGTTGTGTCTCCAACTCCCTAAATCAGAAGGGGGCCTGGCGCTCCCCAACTTTCGCCACTATTACTGGGCCTCTAATATTAATAAACTCCTCTATTGGGCTAAATATAAACTTTCAGACCCCTGCCCACCTTGGGTACATATCGAGCTGTCATCTTCTGCTCCTTTGCACTCTATAATCTGCTCTCAGCTCCCTGTAGCGACCCATAAACATTTGAGTAACCCAATTGTTACTAGCACCTTAAGCATTTGGCTCCAATTCAGGAAACAGCACGGGTTACATAGAGCTTCGGTTCACGCCCCAATTTCAAACAATCACCTATTCTCCCCATCATGTACTGACCCGGCCTTCCGCGTTTGGTCGAACAATGGTCTGGCAACGCTTAATGACCTTTACGAGGATGGAGTCTTTTCATCCTTTGAGTCCCTGTCAGTCAAATTCAACCTGCCAAACAGTCATCTCTTCCGTTTTTTCCAAATGAGGCACTTCATCCAAAAGCAATTTCCCCATTTTCCTAACCGCCCCCCCGAATCGCCAATTGATACATTTCTCACACTCGACCCTGATCAAAAGCGCTTGGTTTCAGTTCTCTATGGTCAGATTGGTTCCCTGAGTCCGGACCCTATGGTGCCTCTTAAGGAGCTCTGGGAGCGTGATCTAGGTAGCAACATTTCCGATGATCAATGGAGTGACGTTCTCAACCTAGTCCATACATCATCTATCTGTGCTAGACATGGCCTACTCCAGTGCAAGGTGCTCCACAGAGCTCACTTTACTAATGCTAAGCTGGCTAAAATGTTCCCGGATCGGAGTGATGCCTGTAACAGATGCAATCAATCCCCAGCTGACCATCTGCACATGTTCTGGACTTGCCCGAGGCTGGACACATTTTGGTCTGACATATTTGGAACCATTGAGCAGGCCTATAACACAAAAGATAAACCCTAATCCTATGACTGCACTGTTCGGCCTTCCTCCATCTGAGAATATGCCCATTACTATACGCCGTGTCATTGCCTTCACCACTCTATTAGCTAGACGCTCTATTCTCTTGAAATGGATACATGCTTCCCCACCAACACATGATCAGTGGATACGTGATGTCTTGCAATGCCTTCAGATGGAGAAGTTAAGATTCTCATTAAAAGGATCTCTGAAATCCTTCCGTACTACCTGGGACCCACTATTAGGCCTTATCAAAGAACTCCCTATCACTTCTGACGCTGAGTCGCAGGTAGCTCTCTGAAAGGGAATAAATTAAATAAAAGTGACCATTCATATTACTGCTCTTCCGCCATGATCCTTTGTCTTTTGCCCTAGACTACTCATCTATATTTCCTTTTCGCTCTTAATGAAACCCTTTTTCCTCACCAAGACGACAATGTTTACTATTATTTTCTTCCCTTACACCAGCAGACTGTTTTCGCTCTCGACTTTATTTATTTTATTATTTATTATTTTTATTTTATTTTATTTTTATTTTTATTTTTTATTTTATTTTGTATTAGTATTATTATTTATGTTTTACTTATTATTGTATCTGACTTATTCAGTTATTTTACTATTTGGGGCCATCCATACCTGTGGGTGGGGGGTGGGGGCTGGATGGGTTAAATGAATGAAAAAAAAAAAAAAAAAAGACTGTAAACAAGGACTCTACGAACCCTGAAGTGAATGCAATTTCAAGGAGGTCCTTTGTAATGATCCCCATTGTAATTGTAACATCTGTACTGTTTAGTATTACTGCTCTCACTTCTTGTCATTTGCTGGATTATGACTTGTTTGCAATAAAAAGATTTGTAAAAAAAAAAAAGAAGTGTGCGGTGAGGTGCTGCTCCACATTGCTTTTCTTCCCGACTGCAACGCTGGTCCCGTAAATCCAGCAAGAACGTGATTGGTCGATATTCATTGTAGGGGGTGGGGGGAGGAGGGGTGTTAGATAGATAAGAGTTGAAGTAAGTAGATAGAGTTCACTATGATTGAGGTTTCGTTTATGCATAGGGTAGATTCTTTTAACTACATTTCCTTTTTTTTGGTGTGTATTTTTTACATTTTGGATTTGCTTGGCGAGCTACTTATTGAGGGCTTGCGAGCTACCGGTAGCTCGCGATCGACGTGTTGGAGACCCCTGCTCTATCTGATGCTGAAATTGGCCAATAATAAAACGTTTTTGTTGTTGTTATTTTTTCTCAAGGACCATAAACATGTAAGGGTTAGGGTTGTGTTGTCCATAGTGACTCAGCAGCCACAGACACACATTGAATTCTGACTTTAACCTCAGAATTCTAATCAGAAAAAATTGCACTTTTGGTCAGATCTAAAAAGATTAAGTGGCCCTAATCCTCTCCCGTAGGATAGTAACAGTGTAATGTTTCATTGTTTTTAATCCTGGTCCTCTGCAGCGACCAACCAGTCAAGTGAAGTTAACAGCGTTCACCTTCGGCAGGACACTTAACCCCACATTGCTCCCATAGGCATGTCTACGGTCCTGAAGTGTTTGTAAGTCACCTTCAATAAAAGCGTCTGCTAAATTACATGTCATGTAAACTTTCCACCTCAAACAACAGTTACATACTGAAAAAGGTGTACAAAAAAATAACCTAAAAAAACGAATGCATTCAGAAAAGAAAAAAACCCAACATGTATAAGAAAGTCACAAAAATGTGAGAGAAAAAAAATGATAGTAAGTGAAAAACGTCTGACAAATGCAAGCTGTCCATCCTTTGAGTTGTGATTGAAAATACTTCCTGCTTAGTACATTATTATTATTATTAATCAGTCACTCTGTAGTCCTTTATTGGGGTCAAATTGCATCTCTTTGTGGTTGCTTTGAGTCTCCTTTTAGTCATGCGTGAATATGAAAAGTCATGCTAATTATCCAGATGCATAATAATACCATTGCTTACTGCTGCTAATGATGAAGCATTGTTACATTAGTGAAATATTAAGCGGAGGAAATGTAGTATTCAGCATATCTGACGGGGGATATAATGTAATCAGAACTATTCCCCCATAGATGAAAAAAAAAATATATATATATATATATATATACAAATATATATAAAAAGTCTATAAAAATATCAGAAGAAATGTAAATTAATTTATAGAAAATGTGTGAAAAAGGAAGGATTATCTGTCACTGTAGTCATTGTAAGTCTCTTCTTTGCATCTGTATGTATGAATATGAAGAGTCAGATGCGTAATAATACCATTGCTAACTGCTGCTGCTGATGAATCAGGGATTTTAGTATTCGTATATCTCACAGGGGATGAGTTGTCTTTTTAATTAAAAGAGGATTTATTCTTTTGTACTGATGGAGTCTGACAGCAAATAAACACGGAGCTGCTGAGTTTGCATTAACATAATGTAAAAACAGGGACAGATCAGGAACCAGGAAACATACAGATAATAAAAATGATATACATAGACTAATGCACGATGGGGTTAGGCCCACCTTCATAATGCATTAATCATATTCCAGTCCCTGATTGATCAGTGTCTGTGGCAGTGATGCTGTTGTGTAATGAACAACTCCATCACCTGTGTGTCCATGCCAGCCCACAGACCTGACACTGTGTTAAATGTGTGATGGTAAACAGTGTTATCATGACGACAGTTCACCATAATAACCCTGTAAGGACTAGTGCATCCTCCCTGTCCTCTGTGACACTGGTCCCTGTTGTCAGGGACACGCCGCTATGCATGACGGTACTGCTACAGTGCTACATCTCTCTCATATGTGCAGCTGTTCCCTACACAGCGGGCACCATCCCAGGCGGAGTGAGTGTGTGAGGCTCGGTGTGTGTGAGGCGTGAGGCTCGGTGTGTGTGAGGCTCGGTGTGTGTGACAGCGGCCCGGGCATCTCCCTCTCTTACCATGGCCTCCATCGACTCCCAGCTCTTGGTTTCGGATCCCGACAGAAGGAAATTTTTGGAATTTCCTCTGAAATTCACCTTCAGGTTGATGTAGAAGTCCATGTCTGCGCCTTACCGCATATTACTCACGACAACACGGCCCAACGGAGGCTGCTCGGGGTAATCTCGCCCTGTCCGCTCCACCGTGACTGATCCGACGGGGGATGAGGCGTATTCTGTGTTTACATCAGCGTCCCAGCCACGCCCACCCTGCGTCATGTGCCCGGAACTCAGAGCGACACTTTCGACGTGGAGCTTATTTATTTTGTATTAAAGAAAATGTAGGCTAATTATAATTAACAAAACTGTAATAAAACCAAAAAAAAAAATAATAACAATACAAATAAATAATAATAATACATTCTACGTATAGAGCAATTATCAAACTAAATTCTTTGCATAAAGAATAAAGAAACAAGAATGAATAATAATAATAATTATTATTATTATTATTATTATTATTATTTTATAGATGTTTTACCATAATAATAATAATATTTTTGATTTAAAGACGATCTTTCAAGCCATAAGAAGAAGATTTGTAGGATAATATATTTTTGTAAGAAGATATCGTGATTTCAATTTGAGGAAAACAGCCCATATGTTATTCATATATTTATAAATGTGCTTCTTTTTTTGAAGACCATTATAATTTAACTGTTGCTGTAATTTGTAAATTTGCCGGTTTTTTCATGCTCAATTGTATATAATGGGCACACTTTTGTATCAAATATGTCAATAATACCTCATTTAAATTTGTTCAAATGGCACAGGAGCAGCAACATTACTTACCTTTTGTGATCCTTAGATTTCTAGTAATTATAACAGAATACAGTTATAAAATAACACAGCAACATTTATATTTAACTTTGTCTGTTACCGTTACAAACTATCTGTAATGTAGCCTATTCTGTAATGTATCCTGAGCATATTTAACACGCAGTGGCACATCTGGACTTAATTCAATGATAATTCAATTTTACATTACATGAAAAAGACAATAAACAAAAACATTAGTAAAAAAGAATAATAAAGTGTACGTCACTTTTTAGTGTGCCTTGGTTTCTGTTGTTTTGAGCTTCTTGTTTTATTAGGAGAATTATGTATATGCAGCGCTTTTAGTAAAAGCCGGCATGTTTGGTCAAGTCGGTGAAGATGTCTCTTCATTTGCATGTGTTTTGGCATATTTGTGTTTTTGTAATTGCATCGGTTCTAACGATTGTTTTGGGCCGTTCTAGCGGTTTACACCTGTTGGCCACTGTAAGAAACACCCTTAAACCTTTATCTTTTTTAGACTTTTACTAATTATTATGCTGCCTGAGTAGCGCGACTCCGACACTATAAATAAGTATAATTAACTAGGTTTTTATTTTTATAGGATTTTGATCATTGGATATGCTTTGGGATTTAATTGTTTTGAATAAAGTCGGAAAAAAGGTAAAAATGAAATCCAAAAAGGAGAGGGATGGGGGCGCAATGTGAAGTAAAATACACTTACCTGTTAATGGAAACGACAAAAAAATACACTGGCATTTTAAAAAGGCACTATGTGAACACACGCCCTTAGTTGGCATTGTTCGGCTTGTGGAGCTCAGGACTTTGTGAGACCTGTGGTCACTCCACATACATGTAGGCATGGAACTGAAACGCTGTGGGGGTTTCCCTCTCCTGTAGTGTGTTCTATAGGTTTTTGGGCATGTAAATGGTATGCAAAGGCTTAAATCCCTCATGGGAGTTTCTCTCCCACATACCTCCTTGGTTTTATTCCGTGACATAGTGACATCACTATATAACACTTGCACTTCTATTGGCTAGCGCTCAAACACGTTGTACGCAGTGGCGACTGGTCATTAGGGGCAGGTGGGGCACAGCCCCACCTAGTGTCAGCAGAAAGTATTACAAATAATGATTACAAAAAATGCAAAAAAAAAATAAAAAAATATATAAAATATATTTTAAGATCATGGTTAATCATCTGATTCGTCTGTACATTGCTGTTTTAGTCTGTGTTCTTCTAATTAGTGTCTACAGTGTGTGCCTATTGAGCTGTTTAGAGCCATGTGGGACAAAACCTGATCATGCCCCCCCCTCTCACTGTCTAACTGAATGGTGACTGTAAAAACTACACTGCGCATGCTCAGAGTATTTTCCTATTTAATGTGTGTGGCAAAAAAATAATGACCATAGGGGCACTGAGCTGCCATCCCCACCATACGTCATCTCACATAATTCAGAGCTGATTGGCTGTAAGTACGTGTGCCGCGAAAAGTGTGGTGTGTGAAGAGGAGACGAGAGAGCTGCAGTGACGCGTCCTAAAACCCGGAAGTAAGCTGCGCATGGCTTCCCTCGACAAAAAAGCAAGGAGATTTCTCCATAGGATTTTAGAAAATAGCTCGAAATAAGATCTGTGGGAAACGTACCTGTTAGATAAATGCACATTTTGTTCAGCCGGATAACATCCACATGTCTACCCTACTTTTATAATTTTTGAATTATAAATCTATCGATTAGATTTATGATAGACTTTTGAAACTACAAGAAGATAAGGAGGACTTTTACAAAAAAGTAATGGAGATTTTTGTCCAGAAGGATAGACAAATGGACTTCATCTTCAAGTCAAGGTAAGACCGCAATTTTATTGAAAATGGGATCTTACTAAGAGAGAACAATTCAATATTTAAATGATAAAATTACATTTTTTGGGTATCCTTTTGTTGAACTGTCTGTTTAAAATTAATCGAAGCATCAGACAAAAAAAGCTTTTGAAAATAATATTATATTTTGGTTTAGGTCAAAATATAATATTTGTAAACCTGAAGAGTCAGTGCCAGTGCCTCACCAGCCATGAACCTCACTGCACGTCACTGCAGAAGCTTATATATAGACATCTAAGTTTTTTGTGCCCCACCACTTTTGTACATATAAAAACGCCACTGGTTGTACGTAAGGACGGGACATTTCTAAGCGGTTGACCAATTACAACAGAGCTGGCCAGCTAACCAATCAGAGCAGACTGGGCTCTGGTTTCAAACAGAGGATGAAAAGAGGTGCTGCAGCACAGGCAGTATGAGAAAAATAAAGAGCTTTTTGAACATTAAAGCATGGAGACATGTCACAGTAGGCACTAAATACTGATATGATCCTGAACATCAGCACAATAAGGCCCCTTTAAGTCTGCTATTTCAGGCACTTGTTTCCCGTTGCATTCAAAATATGTTATTTATGCTATGTGAAATAATTTTGCCCTTATATTTGCATGTGTTGCAATTATTCCTGTCACTAAAACAATCTGTTTTAGAGCCATTGCTATTTTGCTCTTCATTCAGCATTGAGGGATATCATTGGTCAGATACCGCCATCTACTGGATTTTTTGTATATCTACACCCCCTCTTGGTCCCATCACCATGTCAAGTGGAAGATAGATAATGGTGGAATATATAAACAGGGTTGAGACGGTTACTTTATAAATGTATTCTCTTGTAAAATGTAATCATCAACCTAATCTGAGTCTCACAACAGTAATATGACCTGATTTATTCCTACTACTTTTGGACCTCAACATCAACTCCAATGCAAATAAATACATGAGAAAATAAATATAAATTAAAGCTGCAAGCAGCGATGAGCGGGTCTTCGACAATCCGCGCAGGTTCGCTGTTGTCCGCATGTCGACGTCGCGCAGATGTTTTCCGGACTCGGCCGTTAGCAAACGAGGGAAGTTTCAGGCCGATCGGGCAATGTACATGGGAGGTACAGCAGTAACATAAACATCGTGTTGGATGGCGACGGCATATGACACCTCATAATAGGCTTAGATGACTTGAGGTCTGCATCGTTATCAAACGTGATGTTTTGGGCCGTTTGGTGGACGATCGGACCGTGTCCATTGGAGTTACAGCGACATCGTGTTTTATGGCGAGGGATGCGTTTGCATGGCCACATGATGAAACCTCAGATTTGACATAGAGCTGTTCAGGGCCGCAGTGTTAACCATCATGTGATGTTTGGCGGCGTTCGGAGTATGTTGGAGTTATGACATCATCGTGTTCCATGGCGAGGGATCTCCTAGCATCGAGCTAACGTGAAAATGGGCACCGCTTAACGACTATGCCGTGCGGTGAAAAATTACAATTTTAATAACTTTTCATCCCCCATGTCTTGAGACGCTACCCGCCAAATTTGTTATACTGCAATAGGCTATTTAAAAAAACATGATATTAGATTTTAAAACATAAATATCTTTCTATTCATGTTTTTGTCAATTCGTAAATATGTATAATTCAGCCTACTTTCAGCTACAGAAACCATATTTCTATAAATATAAGTTTATATATTTATTACTTCTCATTATGTTTACACATTAATTATTCCAGTTCATATTTCTATGTCTACATCTTTTATTTCTTGTTATGTATACACTTTTTCTACATCGATTTTTTTACATCTGCATACATACATATATGCAGTGCATCCGGAAAGTATTCATACCCCTTAACTTTTTTCACATTTTGTTATGTCACATCCATATTTCTAAATGGATTAAATTCATTTTTGTTCAATATCCCATGCACAATACCCGATAATGACAAAGCGAAAACGTTTTAAAATAATTTTTTGCAAACGTGTTAAAAATAATTAAATGAAATATCACATGTACATAATGTGTATTCGTCATTCAAAAGAGGCAACAACCGGAAGACAGACTGCGTGATAACCGAGAGAAGAAGAACAGACTGTGTGATATAAACAAACAACAAATAGCGTGTGCGTTCCATTTTCACTCTACAACGAGAAGCTCATGGGGCTTTCCCGAACCTGTGTCGAGAGCTGGAGTTAAATTCAATCTCAGATTTGCCTTCTTAATAGTTTGTTTGGGTCCCTCACTTCCGTTTCGCTTCTCATGCACTGATTCGCTAGCTGAACAGCCAATCCGAGTGATTTCTTTTGCCGACAGCCTTTGGCCGACTGCCCACCAATTCGACATGTTGAATCGGTGGGTTTTCGGCAGAAAAGGTGTCGGCACGGCTGAAAAGACACGACGGTGCGGAACACACCAATCTGACTAGGGCGTGTCGACGCTCATCGTCGGCCTGACGCCCACCGACGGCCAAAATCGGCTTGGT